AAATCTACCCTGTTGCCATTTGAAACTGTTATTCATCCTATCACTACACTCCCTCCCCTTCTTTCCTGTAGGTCCCCTTTGAGTACCAGGCTGCTATAAGGTCTCCCCAGAGCCTTCTCTTCTCCAGGCTGAACAAGCCTAACTCTCTCAGCCTGTCCTCGTAGGAGAGGTGCTCCAGCCCTCTGACCATCTTGGTAGCTCTCCTCTGGACTCGCTTCAATAGCTCCATGTCTTTCTTGTGTTGGGGATTCCAGAGCTGGACACAGTATTCCAGGTGGGAGTCTCACACGGGCAGAGCAGAGGGGCAGAATCACCTCCCTCAACCCTCTGGTCACACATCTCTTGATGCAGCCCAGGACAAGGTTGGCCTCCTGGGGTTTTTACCTGACTTCCTCTTTGTTGGGATGCATCGCTCCTGAACATAAAGGAAGTGATCCTTGAATATGGCCCAGCTGGCTTGGGCCTCTCTTCCCTCCAGGAGTTTATCCCAACCAGGTCCCTGAAGAGGCCACAGTCTGCTCTTCTAAAGTCCAGGGTAGCAAGCTTTCAGGGTGCTCTCATTGCTGCTCTAAGGATCTTGAGCTCCACTATTTCATGGTCACTGGAGCCAAGGCTGCCCTTGAGCTTCACATTATTCACTAGCCTCTCCTTGTTGGTGAGAATGAGATCCAGCATAGTAATAAATCAGCAAGAAAACTTATTTTAGCTGGTTACGAATGGATGCTGTAGTTGCTAGTATAGATGTGTAGACTTTTGAAGGGGAAGAGTTGCAGCTTGTTCTTCAAAGATGGCAGGGGAGAAATCAGTTGCTTTATTAGAGCAGCCTTATCCTTCACTAACTCAGAATTTCAGCTTCATGGAATTGGTGTTAATGGAGACTTCAACTGAGTGTGATCATTACTAGAGAAAGTTGACTATGTTGTGGAATGGAATAATTCTTATTTCACTCTATGTTATGTCTGTTTTGCAAGCTCAGAGTAGTGTTGAAGGCTTGTTGCAGTTCACAGTGTCTTGGATTCTGCACTTTGCATCTGGAAACTACTCCAGAAAAGCATTGTTAAAGTGAGTCTTGGTGTGGCAGAAGCTCGAATTTGTAGTAGGCATTAAGTCACAGCCTGGTTTTTTGAATTGGTTCCCAGAACCGTATTTTTTGTGCTTTCTGCCGATTTTCATGCGTTAGTGAAGAATATGTGATTTTTGTTTGAAAGACTTGAAGATGGTAATGATGATTAACCTTGACTCTAACTTGTCCAGTGGCCTGTTTTATATAACTGTAGTGCTGCTGCCCTTCTTGGCCATCTTCCAGTTAGGAATAGGTCTTTCCACATTTGACTGCTTCCAAAATAATGATTGAGCTGAGGAAAGTCACAGTAACAGTTCAGTAAGCATTTCTCTGGGGAGTTCTCTAACTGGAGGATTTATAACACAATATGAATTTCCCTATGGTGCGTCAAAGACATATGTTTGCGATTGGTAAATCTTAAGGTATGCTAATAGGCATTTTAAAAATAAGTCTTTTTAACCCTCTGTTGAGGAAAGTGGGACTACTGGGGAAAGGTTAACTGTGAGAGGAAGGGGTACTAAGAAGTACTGTAAGTGCACATGTCAAGGGACAGTGGTGTGCTTGTCTGCCTTATCAGGCCTGTTTCTGGGATACGGACTAATCTTAGTGATCCGGTTCTCATGATCTTCTTTGCCAGGCATGCAGCTGAGACGCACAAGGCTCATTGCAAGTCACAGCCACCTTAAGATGGCTTGGGGTTAGGCTTTGCTGGTGGTGCAAGCTAGCATAGGAGTAAGGGGAACCGCCCTTCTCTTCAGAGGTAGACCTTCCCTTCTGGATTGCGCTCTGCATACCATTTTGGCTTGGTAGCCTTTTAAAGATCTTGAGCAACTTTCCCTGGCAACCTGAGCTGGCAGTGCTTGCTTGGCTGGGTTGTCAGAATTCCTAGGTGACTGCTATGCAAGTATGCACCTTTTTATGAGGCAGCAAGGTTTTAGTGTGTGCTTAATTTGGTGGTACAGTTTTGGTGTTTACATACGATCTTAACTTGCATGAAGTGCCTAAAACTCTTGTTCTCTAGAGCATCGTCTACTTTGGTCTTAGAGGGTTCCCAGTGGTAAATAGCGGTTTGGCAGCCCTTTCATATGCTCATTCCCTTGAAGTTTAGATACTGATCCAAACATAAAGTGGTATGCAGAAACTAAAAGAGAGATGAGGGGGTGAACCTGCACCTGTAATTAAATTGTGTAATTGTCCTAGACACCATCAGGAATGTATTTGTGGTTGGCCATTGTAAAAGTCCAGGTAGCTTGTCCTGGCATCCCAAGGCAGTCAATAGTGCTGAAGCAGCTGTGATCAGGTTTTCTGGAGCTGAGGCTGGCTTAGGTAGGGCCGGATCCCTGATTCAGGACAAGCCCATGGGTGTGCAGCCTGTGAATTGTGCTGGGAGGACTGCAGCTCAGCACGGAGAGGCCCAGAGGCTCCTTAGAAGAAACTAGAGCACAGTAGGCGTTTCTGCTATCGAAGCCAGCTGTAGGTGGGTGTGACTGCTGCAGCTGCTCTGATACTCCCTCCAAGGCGTTTTGGGTGACTCAGTACTGGCGCTGGGAACCGGGGCGGCAGGGAATGGTGTGAAATGGTGGGGGGATGCTGCTGAACTCTTAGACCGCATGGGGGCTGAAAGTCTGCTCAGTAAGTTTAAGGGCTTCACTAACGGGTTGGATAGAGTTGACTTTGAAGGATTTTATTGATTTGATACGTGTGTTGTTGGCACTTATTCATGTTTGGAAAATGTGTGTTAGATTTACTATGGTGGTGTATTTAGAGCAGTACAGTATTTAAAAATCATCAACTACATCTTGAGTATGCTGAACAAAGTGTAGTGTTACTGCATGCAGGGGATGAGATTACAGTAAATTAACTACATTAGTGTTTTCTGAAGTTTTGAGGTGACTAATACCAAACCGTTCAGACAAGCCATCTGGTAAATTTTTATATTGTATTTTCCTTTAAAATGAGAGGTGATTTTATCTCATAGTAAAAATTGAACTAGTATGTCTGAATAAAGCAACCTACAGAAGTACATGAAGAAATTTTAATGATGTTATATCAGTAGAGTTTGGAAAGGATAGAGTAAATAAATACTATCAATAGAATGATTAATACAAAAATATTAAATGGCTATCTCCATGAGCAGTGTCTAAATTAAAAAAAAAAAATAAGGCTGTTGGTGTGACTGAGGAATACACTCTTGTAATTATAATATACTTCTTGCATACATTTAGGGATATTAAGTGTGTCTGATTTATAAATCTATATTAAAGTCTAAATTCTGGAATTTTCTAGCATAACATGATCATTGTATCATCACTAGAAACTCAATTTTTTTTTTGTTATTCATGTGCACCACAAGCATATGATGATGTGATTATTGCTTTGACAAGCTTAAGTTACCCCCAAGATAAGTCATTCCACCTGGTGCTCTGAGCATGCAAGACACTTTCAGTGCAGGACTAATTTTCTTGCTTTTGAAAGGCCGTATTTGAGGACAAGACTATTTTCTTTTCCTTTTTTTATTTTTTTTTAACCGCCGGATCTTTATATAGAATGACATATTGTTTTAACCAAAATTGTGTAGGAAAAAGTTCAGAGCTATGATGATTCAGGTTGCAGAAACTCACGTGTGTGCAAATCAGCCTTTAACCTTTGTAGGAGAATAAACAGGTTATTTATGACGTATCTCTTTGCTTTTGTGATGCACTCTTTTGTTTTTTCCTAAGGTGCAGGATTAGAGATGGGGAGGAAAAAGTGTGAAATAGTAGTTTTCTCAACAGTTGTGTAGTCAGAACGCTAGAAGATACACTTTTCATTATAATCTCTCCCATTCTGCACCATAATAGATCATTTAGTCGTCTTCTTCGTGTGTGGCTTTCAGAAGACTTTGTTTTAATGGCTCTATTCACTCCCGCCTATCAGTCTGCTCTCAGTGGGCTGTTCTTCTTTTGGTTCAGTGTCAGATACAGTGTTTTCCATTTGCAAAGCACCTTGACTTTAGTTTTAGATCCCTATACAGTGTGTCAAACTAGTGGTACCTAGTGTAGTATCCCTGGGTATTTAGAAAGAAGAAGGATGGAAGACTTTTCACTTAGAAATTCTCTAGGAATGGGGAAGCCTTAAGAGCAGGAAATTCTAGACTGGCAAAGTGTTTAATGGATGCCCTTGTTTAATTGTAATTAGAACTGTTCAGATGTAATTGGTGGCTTGAGCTTAGGCAAAGGCATGGAGAATTATCTTCTCATTTCCCAGCTGTTCTTTTATGTTAAAAGGTTTTCACAATGAGGAAGAAAACCAGGTTACCTTGAGAAGCAGTTGTTAGGGATGCTAGAAGCAGGTTGTGATTTGGGAAATGCTACTTTTAGTATTCTAGATGCCGATACCTGTATTGCAGAGACTGAGGTGCAGTAAAATTAATTTAATATATATCCGTAAACAGAAATAGTTATCTAGAACCAGTTGCATTGCAAGTAGTCTCAAAAGGGTTAAAATAACAATGTGAACTATTTTCCAATGAAGTTAAACCGAAATCAATTTGTATATCTAACTGTGTAGGCTGTTAATAGACCCATATACACTTTCTGACTTAGTGTTGAGAAGAAAATATCTGTTAATTTCCGAATCGACATGTTAGGACTTCTCCAACCATCAAAAAATACAAAGACTACTCGTTTGTAGCAGAATGAAGTTTGAGAGTAAGGCTGGTGAAGGAACATACTGCATTATTTTAACAGGAAAGCAAAATGAACTTTTATGTTGTGTGAAAAATGTGTATGGTCTCCCTGAAATACTTCGGTATCTGAACTGTGCTATGGTCCGGGCTCTGGACATCTTACCTTCTTCCCTCCCCGCTCCTTTCCCTTTTCCATGTCCTTAGAATGCAGATGATTGATTTCTTTGAAAACATACATGGTGAACAGTCTTTCTTTTTTTTTTTCTTTAGGGACCAGTTACTCTCCACAAGAAAATTCACATAACCACAGTGCTCTTCATAGTTCAAATTCACATTCTTCTAATCCCAGCAATAACCCAAGCAAAACTTCTGATGCAGTGAGTATTTGTGACTGGCGTTCATCTCTGTGTCACCCCATACATACACGTTACATTTTCATCATTTTGTCTAAAACAGGCATCACGTACCTTACCTGCTTCCTTGAATTTTCCAGCATCTGTCTTTATAAACACTCTGTAAACCCAAGCTGTTGTTGTTATATGTTGTAAAACTGATCTAATTGATATTTAGAGCTTTGAGGTACCTATCTTGAATTCTAAAATGCTAGATTATTTAAATGAAGTAGATACATAGATAAATATTTTCCATGAACTTTGTTGGTAAATCTGCAGAAGACGGTATGACTTCACTTATTTAAGATGCATTATATGTGAATTTTAGTTTCTTTGTTATCTGTGTTTTAGTAGTTTGGGTGGTGCTTGTTAAAAGTTGTGCTGAAAATAGAATGGATAAATTTGTGAAGTACAGAAAAATTTCAAAAAAATAATTTCTGAGCAAGTTCTAAGGTGCAAAAAGCTTATGTTACCAATATTGATATTATTGTGTCTCACTAAACATGCTCTTAGATTTTGTTTCAGAGTTCGTGGGAATAAAAGAGAGGAAACTATTGTAGAGTGCCCTAGGAGCGTAGTGATCACGTCTTTAAACTGTGAAAATGAAACAGGCATCTAGAGGTGGTGTGAATGGAAAGCAGTGATATGGGTGTATATGAGGATGCCATGTAGCTTTAAAAATGGTGGAAACATTTAAATTTGTGCATTAAAACTCTGAAGCCGTCTTTTGTCCAACACTGTATTTTAAAGGCTTATGATTCTGCGGATGATTGGTCTGAACACATCAGCTCTTCAGGCAAAAAATACTACTACAACTGCCGAACAGAAGTTTCACAATGGGAAAAACCAAAAGAGTGGCTGGAAAGGTATATATTTGTGTGTGTGTGCTGTCATTGTATAAAGAACAAATATTTTTAAGTTCATTTAAGAGCAGTAGAGCATATCTAATAGACTAATTACTCCTGTAAGAGATTTTGCCAAGTCTACTGTGTTTCTACCCTTACCATGGCTTCTGGAACTTATTTTACCCTTTGATGATCCAGAGTGGGAGGGAGAAATATGGTTGATTTGTGTTCTTGGGGTTTTTTCTGCTGGGGTGATGCACTTTTTTCTGGTTTGTTTTGCTTTTTGAGGGTGGTGGGTTTTTTTGGTTTGGGTTTTTTGTTTTGTTTTTTTTCAGTGTTAGGTGAAGTGGTGTACTGGGGGCTTCAGTGAGCACTGGTGCAAGGCAGCAATGGCTGAAGTTTGCCTGCCTCATCTGTAGCAACAGGCTCCTAAGAGAATAGTTTAATTCTTCTCATGTAACTTCACCTGTAGGAAGTGTTGTATTACTACATGATCTAAGTTCTTACTCAACTTGTGTTTTCTTTTCTTCAGAGAGCAGAGACAAAAAGAAGCAAGCAAAATGTCAGTTAACAGTTTTCCAAAAGATAGAGATTACAGAAGAGAGGTGATGCAGGCGACAGCTGCCAGTGGGTTTGCCAGTGGAAGTATGTGGCTTTTTACAGTAATATATTCTTGCCTAGTTTTCATGACTGTTTTCTTTTCCAAACTGTAAAAAATAAGAATTCCCTTTCCTTAGCTGTTTTTCTGACCTTTTTATATAAAAAGGCCGAAGCACATAGCACAGATAGCTCTGTCGAATGTTGTTTCTTAAAATAAATTTGAGCCTTTACTAATACGAAGCTTGTCTAATGCTTTTTGTGATACTCCTCCTTTTTGCACCTTTTACTGCCTATAATTATAGGTAGTTATTGAAGCAACTTACAGTTTACAGTATAGTTGGACTGTCAAGATCAGTGAAACCTGTCCGTGTCATACTCTGAGTTTAAAAACAGAAATCATAGATGTAGAAGTTTATCCTGAATCCTTTATTTCACATCTGAAAATAATAAGCTAATTTAATGGATTATGATATCAGTGTTCTCAGTACAGTTCTCGGTATCAGTCTTGTGTACATTATTGAACACATTTTTACCATGTCAAGACTCATTAGCAAAGCCTGTTCTGAACTATGAGTTTCTATTAGTTGGAATTTTTTTTTTTTTCCTGATACGTAGCTTTAATCTATGTCAATTTTTTTTCCTGGGAAATGGTTGTACTGTGAGGTTCTTTCTGTATATTGCTGTAGTTTGGGTGAAATTATAGCATAGTTCTCTGGATGATTTGAAAGTAGAAGCCAAAGTATTAATTTTTCAATTTTATTTTCCCCCTTTGCTTGGGATTTAAGGCAGAAATGTATAAAGGGCTGTTTTCCTGTATATGCTGAAACATAACTGCATATGCTAAAACATACCATATGCTACAAAAGTGCATATTGCAGTATCTGTTTGTTTTGTGACAGGTGGAAATCTAGGAATCAGTAAAAATAATTATATTTCCTTGGCCTGTTCTCTGTGTAGCATATTTTAAAGTCTGATGGTGTGACAAATGTGGATTAGTCACTTATTTAATGTATAGTCTTCTTGAATTAATATAGTTGAAAGTAAATTCTTTGTAATAGTACTGAAGTGATTTGAAGTGGAATTCTTTGAAGGCTAGAACTCGTTCAGGATTTTCAGTGAACAAAAGAAAAATGGCTCAAATAATCTCTTCATGCTGAATGTAAGATGGAAGTAATAGATTTTGATTTAGATTTTTTTTAGGAGACTTCAAAAGTTAACTTGACTAACACTTGTTAAAAAGCAGCCTTTCATCAAAACACGGTGCTTAACCGGAACTCTAAATCAAGCAAAGGTCAGAGAAAATGCGTTTTGTCAGTGAGTAAAATTGAATTTTGCCTTTTTTGATGCTGATCTACGTGAGGCTTTTTTTAATCATAAGAAGTTCAATCAGCTTTAGTTGTTGATGTGCAGCTGCATTAATCAGAGTCACTGCTATCTTAGACAAGTTTCTAATTTAGTCTTTTTTTCTTATTGCAATGTTTCTTGGGGAATCCTGAAAAAAGTGGAAGACAAGCATTCCAGTGAGGCCAGTAGTATGCTCCCACAGAATATTTTATCTCAAACAAGCAGGCACAATGACAGAGACTACAGACTGCCAAGAGCAGAGACTCACAGTAGTTCTACTCCAGTTCAGCATCCCATCAAACCAGTGGTTCATCCAACTGCTACCCCAAGCACTGTTCCTCCTAGTCCATTTTCTCTACAATCTGATCACCAGCCAAAGAAATCCTTTGATGCTAATGGAGCATCTACTTTATCAAAACTGCCTACATCCACATCTTCCATCCCTGCACAGAAAACAGAGAGAAAAGGTACGTCTAATCAAATTCTTTCTAATATTTAAGATGATGACTTGCATTTGCGTTTCTCGTTCAAAGTTTGTTAGTTCTCGAATTTAAAGATATTTTTCCTGTTGATTGTGTGTGCTTAGAACTCAGTTACTGTTTTCATGTGTTTATTTCCCCTTAAACCATGTTTGCTGTATTTTACACAACTTCAGATTGATACCACAATATTTGCTATTTACTGGCTTATTCTGCAAATTATAATTTCAAATGGTAATTTGAAAGATGTATTTTAGTAGGACATATTTTTTGTCCTCCCTCATGTTGTTTTGGATCTTGGCCATTATTTGAGTTCTTAACATAGATACAATTACACCATTTGAAAGTCATTTTGGACCATAATATTTTATGAACTGTTGTTACTGTTTGGAATGCCAGTATCAAACTTTTCTGTAAATCCTGGTGTAATTTTTACAGAAAGCAATACAGTTTTCTAAATGTCTGTAACAACTATTCTGTTTTGATCTGTGTCTTGTGATATATGGGATTTTCAGTTCTAAAGCTGCTAGAAGTTTGTATTTCTATATAATACGTACCAGAAACATTTAGAGTCTTCAAGTGAAGATCAGGACTTTACTGTGTGTTGTTTGTGACCCTTCATAAGTCTATATTATAATTGGATTTACTTCATTATTAGGGAAGAAGAGCTCAAGAAGATTTGGAGAATGGAGATGTGTGTTATTAGTGATAGTGTGATAGCTTTATAGGAACATAGAACTATTTGGGTTGGAAAGGGCCTTTAAGATCGTTGAGTCCAACCATTAAGCTAGCACTGCCAAGTCCAGCACTAAACTATGTCTCTGAGCACCACATCTACATGTCTTTTAAGTACCTCCAGGAGTGGTGACTTAAGCAGTTGCCTGAGCAGCCTGTTCAGTGCGTGACAACATTTTTGGTGGAGAAATTTTTCCTAATACCCAGTCTGAATCTCCCCTGGTGCAACTTGAGTCTATTTCCTTTTGTCCTATCATCTAGTACTTGGCAGAAGTGTCCAACTTCCACCTCTCTACAACCTCCTTTCAGGCAGTTGTACAGGGTCATACGGTCTCGCTGACCCTCTTTTTCCCCAGGCTAAGCAATCCGAGGTCCCTCAGCCACTCTTCGTAGTACATGTGCTGTAGACACTTCTTAGAGAGTGATGTATAAGAAGATTCTATTCTGGGGGTTTGGGAGCAGGGAAAAATTAATTTTTGATAAACATGTCTTTTTAATTTAGAGATACTGCTTAATTATATGACACTGCGTTCTTTTTTGAAAGATGGCTTGTAGCTGTGTTGGTATTTGCATGTTTGTCTAGTTAAAAGAAGAATAATGCAGTGCTAAAAAGACTTGGGTCTGACATTGGTCTTATATTCTGCATTTGCTTTCCTGCCTTGCAGTTTTCTTTATTAAAGAATTCCAGATTTTACACAGAGATGTGTCTTGGCCATCCAAAATACCCAAACAATACCATGCATTGTCAAATACTGCAATGTAAGAAAATTGTTCATATAAAGTATGTTTTGCCTTGAGGCTTTGTGCAGTTTTACGTGATCTGGTACATGAATGTTAGTGATAAACTAGAGAGGAACGTAAGATTTTTCAGCAAGGCTCTTTCTGTTCAACACAAAGTGAGAAACTGCACTAGTTTATGCATGGTTCTTCTACTGAATACCATAATTACCTGCTTTGGTTCAACCTGTGTGTTTCAATTGCAGTTTGATGCACTTTTGAACATGAGAATGCAAAACATCCATGACAAGCGTTCTCTCCTTTAGCGTATCCTATTTTCACTGCTATCTTTAAAATACACTTAAAGAAAACCCTTGTTACTACTCCGTTCTGGCACGTACTTGATTCCTTTTTGGCGTGTGATGAGACTTGGAACTGGATATATTCTTTCCCTGCTATACTGCATACCTTTATTAGTTGCTTCCACTTAAACTGAGCAACTGAATCTTACTGCGGTTGAAGGAATTTCCCATTGTGATAACAGCTATAAATGTTGGTGGGGAGTTCTTGAATTTGTTACATTCAACGTTCTTCTGAAAACATACTGTTGGGTATGAGTAGTGACACTGTAAATCTTACTTTAGAATTTATGTTACAGTGGATGGTTCTTTATTAAATAATAACTGAATTTCTGTGTTCTCTTGAATACTCTTGCCTCGTTGATCTAACTTTTAATTACCCTTCAGTGGGAGCAAATACAATACTTCTGAGCTTCAGACAGGGTTGATTACAGAAAGTTAGTAAATAATTGAAGAATTAGATGAATGTTAGGTTTCAAGTACTTCAGAAAATGTGTGTTCTCACAGGTTGCTTAAATACCTCTCTTCTTACAGAAACAGAAAAATTCAGTTCAGCTTATTAGAGATCCTTGAAAGAGTGCATTCAGTAGTCTTGCCTTTTACTTTTTTTGTGGACGTTAGATTTTTTTTTTTGTTTTAAAAAATTTGACCAGTCTAATTTCTGTAGCATTTTACGTATTTAAATTTAAAAGAATGGAGGAAGCTGTATATTGGGATGGTTTTTGATAGCTTTCTTTCATTACTCGTTATCTCAGAGGTGACTGAACCTCTATTACTATAGGTGTGTAGTGTTTCAAAGTGTTTGTAGCTGTTACACAAAATGGAAAAAAAATTGTTCTGAGACACTCAGTTTGAACAATATTGTAAAAGTATCTTTGTAAAATTGGAAAGTAGTTTGAGAGGTTGGGGTTTTTTACACTAGTGGAGCAAACAGTCTTTGATCTTTTTTTCTGTTTGCTAGCTGTGCTATTCCTTTCTCTTTCAAAAAAGAGGTAAAGCTGTATTTTTTGCTTATAAAAATAGCTTGGTCCAAATGACTGATTAGTATGTGCTGTAGTCCTTGCTTAAATGAGTTCTTGCTTTTTGTCAATGTGTTGCTGGCAACGTTATGCCAGCAGATAATGTACCACTGTTTTAATAGTTCTGTTCTTAGAGTGTATTTTTTAAAATGCAGTAGTAGTTGTGAAAAACAAAACAACAACAAAAAAAACCACAAAAACCAACAACACCACTTTTTTCAGCTCAATCTCTTTTGCTGCAGGGGTATGTTGTAGTCCCACAAGGAGATTGAATAAAATCCCTGGCTGAACTATAGCTCAGCTGTTAGCGGTAGTCCTCTGCCCTCAATGGCTGGCAGTAGTGGAGAGTTCCTGGGGAACTATTTGACCTCTACCCTTTGGTTTGAATGTTCCAGTCAGAATCTGCTGCTTCTGTTTGTGCTCACTGTGAGTGCTTTATGCAGGTAAAGTGTGGGGTTGCTTTTCCTACTTTTTGGCTGCTTTATCTGTAGGGCACATCGCATTTTCTGATTTCTAATTCAGTTACCAAATGAAATGTTGTATTGTCTATATCTTCACAGTGTGTCTGTCTGTAGGATGCTTCTCACACCTTTCCTCCAAGTCCCATCGGGCAGCACTTCTGTTTCTAGCACAGCAATATTCTATTTTTTTTTCTGAAAAAGCTCAGCGAGCTGGCTAAAGCAGTGCCAGGTGGGTTGTGACCCTGATGCTGACAGATTAAAGTGGTTGATCAGTGACAGATGAGCTTCTTTCTCATCCTTTTCTCACCCTGTGGTTTTCTTACTTGTAACTCTTGCTAGTTTTTAGCAGTCAATTATTAACATTGCTTCTGATATTGCTGCATCTTCTCTGGCTCAGTTTTGCTGCTTTAAGTATGTTACTCAGTTCATATAGTATTTAGAAAAAATTTCACAAGTTAGACTGCTAGAGGTTTCTTCCAGTACTTCATGCGTGTCAGCTGAGCATTGCTATTACATTTATTTTGGTAGGAGAGAGAAAAGATGAAAATTCAGTTTTAAGACTGGAGAGAAAAATAGAGAGTTTTTTGTATTTTAGATAATTTGAGTGTATTTGAGAACCCAGTTACTGTTGTTGCCATAGTTCCATTTTGTCAAATGTATTTACAAAAGTGCATTGATTGATGAGTATTTTTGTATTTTAGTGTGGCTTAAAGTCCTTAATAGGTCAGAAACAAATTGTAGAAAAGGTAAAAGTGACTGTCGGTGCTCAGACAATTTAGTTGGTGAACACATTCATCTGTGCTGAAGTACCTTACCATTCTTAATCAACAGTAAATGAAGCAGTTTAGTTGTTCTAGGTGGTAGTTGTTTAATCAGTATAGCAGAGGTGAGGTTTATGGGGCGATAAGGCATTGAATTTCTGAGAATTTTGTAATGCAGTTTTCTCCCCACAGAGAGCACACTGTGAGAGCACAAGTGCATGACTCTTGCTAGCAGAGCAAAGACACAACTCAAGCTCACAGCAGAGTGATTGGATAATACTGTAGTGTTGAATCTGAAGGACTTTGAATACATTAGAAAATTACATCAGTAGTAAAAGCTGTTGGAACACTCACAGGATCACATTGATAATTTGGGAATTATCTGGCCAACAGTAGTGGGTAACTTCCACGTAATTTAAAAAAAAAATAAATTTGAAATTAATCAGCTGTCCAGATATGTGGTAGAGTAAGAGCAAGTTCTATATAACGGTATTTTAAAGCTACTCCTTGTATAGGCAGCATTAGTATGTTAGTTGTGAGGAGGAGGAATGTGAAGGAAGTTGCCGCACAGGAAATACATTTCCTTTTGTTTCTTTTTTCACTATTCACTTCTCTGTCACACTTAACATGCCTGAATATCTCAGCTCACTGTGGACTAGAAGGGAGTGAGCAAGTGTGAGGAACGGGGCCTTAAAGGCCTCCAGCAGGTAGAATGATGTGACTGAGGCACAAAGGAGGTGCAGGAGTGGTGATGACAAGAGCTTTGCACTGAAACAGAAAAGTTAGTTGTTCACTCTCTGCCTTAAATCTAGTCTGAATAAATTTACCTGTGTAACATTCTAGGCTGAGAATTGCTTTTCAGAATGAGATTAACTAGTTGATCAACTGTTTGCTTAGGAGCAAAGATTCTTGTCATACGGGAAAGAGGTTGGAAAC